TTATTTATGCCATATATTTAATGTAATATTGGTAAACAGTTATATTGTGCATTTATTGATTTTTCTAAATGTTTCGACAGGATTGATAGGCAGTTGTTAGTGCAAAAATTAAGTGATCTAGGTTTGAGTAATAGAATGTTAAGATGTATTCACTCTATGTATAAAACCGTTACATTATGTGTGAAGTTTAAACGTGAATATTCACAATGTTTTACATCCTTCTCTGGTGTAAAGCATGGAGATAACCTTTAACCACTATTGTTCCTTTTATATATGCATGATTTTGACACTTTTTTTATCATCTGATACACGTGACCCGGTCACTCTTGATAATCGTGTATTTAACTACGCTTACATATCGTCACCTCAGGTCTATAATGTTCTATCTCCGTTCTTGTTGTTTTTGAGAAAATCAAATTTGAAACTTTGACAACCATATAAATGCCATATTAAGTGAAGGAATATATCAAAATTAACATGTTGTGAAAAATCATTCATTTATTTTTACTTTAATAAAATTCATTTTGACAAAAAGTTTACAAATTTCTCATATTTTTGTTTTACAAAAACGGACAATGGAGGAATTGGGATATAGAACGATATGGAATTAGTAGCAGAAGACAATCTCATATTGGCACCCGTTCCATATCCCACATTTCCTAGCTTTAAACGTAGATCGATTAATTAATAAAAAAAATGGAATTAAGATAAAATGAATAATATTTGAAGACATTTTCTTATATGTTGTAATAAAAGCTGACCATTGTATATATGGAAACCAAATTTTGATAATATGTCGACCGACGATATTCCAGTAATTTTAATATGTAACAATCAATAAAAATCAATATAATCGGAGGGAATTTGACTGTTTTACCTTTTTGATGCTTTTGACATTTAAATAAAGGCTTTATCGTGTAATATAATTCATATTAATTATTAGCGTCTATGCCAAGAGTAAGTCTATAGTAATCACAGTCAGAAAGTGGCATAAATGGCATCATACTTTTCAAATCGTTGATTTTTTCTTTCGAGTATGTCATGTTTTTTTCCAATACCGAGGGATTCGGAAAGGTTTTACATTTTCCATCTGACCGGGTGCTCTTTTTTCTAGAAATAGTATGGGTTTTCAATTCTTCAGAAAAACAAAATTTGTAATCACACTGCATATGTCGGGAAGAATCAATTCTCAAATAATTTAGTTTACAAAATTGAATATTAAATTTAAATCGTTGTGAAACCTTTTGGAAATCAAAGAATTGAGATTTTTTCATTTGTATAACTTTCATGTGTTTTGGTCGAACTTTAAGTAAGACTCTGACAAGGGATATTGGGCTATAAATTTCGGCTACTCCTAGTGCTTTTTCAATGTGACTGTGAACATTGTCTACTTCTTGTATAGAAGAATGTCCAGGTGTTCCAAATTTATGTTCAATGATGAGACCTGAATGTCAGACCACAAAATCAGATGATTAATATTTGGAATATCTTCGCACACTTTTTGTAATATAACACACAAAGCACTTGCAATTTCATTAGCCCCCTACCCATCATATTATCTG